GGGGGGGGGGGGGGGGGGTATGGGGCAACAGTTTTCTTTCTTTTTAAACTTTTTTGACTATTTTTTAAATGATGTTTTCATTATTTTATCTTATTATTTTATTTTTAACTTTACTGTTAGGGGCTTTGGGGCAATATCAGAGGTAAGCTAAACCCTGATATTTCCCTGTTGAAATAACACAGAGTCCTCAATCTCTTTTTCTGCAACCCCAGCACTCAATGAACAGGAAGCACTCAGCACAGAGACTTCCTGTTCATTCATAAATTGAGGAGATACTATGTCCACAATGCTTAATGAACAGGAAGTGATGTAGAGCACTTCCTACTCATTTATAATTGGGGGCACAGTACCTGAATACTATGTCCTCAATTATTAAAAAAAAAATGGGTATTATATTGTATTTTTGGGCACTAAAATTAACTTAAGTGTAATTTTTACTGAAATGTTGGGTTTGATTAAGAATTGCGCTAATATCAAGTGATATACAAATTTGCAACTGCCACCATTTTATTCTACAGGGTCTGTGCTTTCAGGAAATATATAACAGAGGTTTTAAGTAATTTTTAAGCCTACAATGTGGATTATAACATGCAAAAAAACGCACCGAAAGGGATAAAGGAATCTGGAATAGTGTAATTATGCCTTTAGAAATCAATGGCAATGCCGTACAATCAATGTGTATTGTGTTGCACCCCATCAGCAACGGAATTAAAAAAAAAAAAAATTACATGCTGTAATGTTTGGGGAACTTAGCACATATGGTGAGCATTTAACGAACAGTCTTGAAGCCGTTTTAACATAAAAAGGACAGCCTTTTATTTCTTACGTAACAGAAAACAAAGCTTTAACAATAACACAAGGTCTGCTTGAATTTCAGCAAAACTAAATGTATGACAAGCTCACCATCTCCAGGTTGTTGCACATACTCCTTGTGCCCTGGACATTAAGGTTTTTCTTAACAGAGCCACAGTCCACCTCTCGTGGACTCTTAAACACATCCCTGATGTGTCACTGGCTCTCTGTCTCCTCGGCTGTCTCCCAGGTGCCTCGAGCGCACACATAGCCACCTGGCTCCCCTCTTCTGGGTGGAGTCCTCCTGCCTCCTGAACACCTCTGTTCCTCTTCCCAGCTGGAGCCCTCATGTGCCTGCAGCCCACACCAACTCCTCCCTTGAGCTATGGTCTGGGCTCTTAATTAGGCAGCTCTCAGCCACCTGATGACTGGCAACACCTGACCTCATGACTGAAGATTTCATCCCACCCAGAACTCTTAAGGTGCCCATACACCTTACGATTATCGTACGATAATCGCATTAGATCGCGTTTTCGTCCGATAATCGCAAGGTGTATGGGCAGGGTACAACTGCAAATACTGTACATTCATATGACTTTTGACTCTCAAGCATGTTTAAAAAATTTGGTCGATCGTGCGATTTTCGCAAGGTTAGTGGCGTTTCCGTACGTCAAAAATCGTACGATCTACAATGCTCATGCACAAACGAAAATACGTGCGCTCGATTACCGCAATTCGTCCAGGTGCTTTTTTTACTTTAATTTACGGCTAATTGAACCTTGCGATAATTGGGGCATGATGGGGCTGCCGTACGACAATCGTACGATGGTTCCATCATCGGCCGAAAAGTTTCGTCCGATAATCGGAAGGTGTATGGCCACTTTAAGATATCTCCAGAGATCCAGATCCCAGCTACAATCTGGAAAAACCAGAAGAAACTGAAAGGCTAGCCTCTTCCCTGCAAAACGAATTATCTTCTGGAGACTCTCAGCCCCTCTGGCTGAGAGTCCTGGGTGTCTGTGTCGTCAGCTTACTCCGTTGCATTGCCACGCACTGCCACAATGCAAAAAAGAAAACAATAACACGCATAAATACACACCAAAACATGTCTTAAAAAACATTTCTTTGCAATACAAAGCGTAAATCTAGTTTTAAAGTACATCTGATGCCAAAACTTTTGTTATTTTGCGCAGAGTAGAGGAGGGATAAAATTGCTGTCCGTTTTTTGTTTTGAAATCTGTGTCTTATGAGAGAGATTTGCCTTCACTTCCTGTCCAATGTAAGGCAAATCCCCTGTTAGACGATGTAATGGGAACAGGTGTCCCTATTGAAAGATTTATCTATTCCATTTTCCATTTCAGGTATGGGTGGTTTTCACACCTCACAGGATTAAAATATCCTCTGTGATACTCAAAAAAAATGACACAGGCACTTACGATATTTGAGCTGAACAATCTGCTGGGCTTCGGATCTTCAAATCATCATGTTCTGAAAACAAAAAAAAAGTTAATATCTCCTAAATATACCTAAAGTATTAACCAAATATACAATATATTAGATTTACATTATTTTAATGTCTTCTGGGAGTAAAATATAGCGCAGCATGGCTCATTTGGACATGCAGCAGTTTACTATATAAAGTAATTTAAATAAAGTGAAGCATGGAGACTGCCATTGCCAAGCTCTCCTGAAAATGCTAGCTGCCAGGTCGTCATGGTCACCCTCTGGCTTCAGTACATTGAGTCAGTTTTACCATTACAGCCAGGCAAGTAGCATTTTTCTTTCATGACTGTTTTACTTCAAAGAACTGTGTATCCAAAACCAAAACTTTTTTTTTCACTTTGGACAAAGTAGGGAATAGTTAGTATTTTTTGCCCTCTTTGTTAAAGTGACACTAAACTCAATAGTTACATTTTAGAAATGCATTCTAGTACCTTTACATTTCCCACTGGCAGGTGCTAGAACACTGGTGGGGCACTGATCCTTGATACTGATGGCACTGGGCTTTTAAGAACTGCTCAGGAATGGGTGCTAAAATTGGGGAGGTTTATGGGCACCTTTCAGACCCATTAACAGCCCACAGTGCTTGTGGACATGAAAGAATAAAACAGAAAACAAAAGAAAACACAAATGTGTCCCTTGGTGGGGCTTTTCTCTCTCTTCTCTTGCTAGGTTGCCTAATTTCAGACTGCCGTGATCTTATGGCTGACTCCGGCCACTTGCAGAGAGATCAGCGTCCCTGGTTACGTGCTAACCAGGGACACTGATCTCCAAACAGCTAACTCTCCCTGGCGCTCCGGGAGTATCCCGCTCCCGGCCGCCAAGGAGAGAAACACTGCTGTGTCTTTTTTTTTATTCTGACACGGAGCCATGTTTTTTTATTTGCCCATTGGAATGCATTGCTAGATTCCTATTGGCTATTTCAATTTGCAATAGCCAATAGTAAACTAGCATTGTACCCGCCCTCTGCTGCAGTTCTCCATCAGGTCCATCAGCAGAGGGCGTGTACAATGCTAGTTTACTATTGATAGACCTGTATGTTTGTGTGTGTGGAAAGGTTTACCTAGAGTTCCTTGCAACATCACTGGAACACCATATTTGATAATATAACTATGGTGAACAATGCATCACATTTAAAGAAGAACTTTTGGATGAGTGAATTACACTCATCCCCATAGGTAGAGCCGACATATGACACTGAAACTGTCAGGAAGTAAACGAGCAGCGGTATGTTTTTGCTCATTTCCCGATCATGTCCCTGCAGAGACAACAGTCACCGCTCCCCGCAAGGATTTCCCCCCCCCCCCCCCCCCA